TAATAAAGCCTGACTGACTCAGAACTCTCTATGGCAGATCCTTCTACATCTAGCTAGACTCCCAGAACCAGCTAAGCTATAGCCCAGCTATAAAGGAAACAGACGTGTAGCACGGAGCACGTTTATTCAGGATCAAGTGTGTACACATGGGGAGGTACTCATGATCAGAATGGGGGATAAGGTTAAACAGAGGTTGATGATTGGTCACTGTTTGTACGGTCGCTGCACACAGAGTTGTACGGCCGCACCTCCCAAACATGGCGAGCAGACATGCAGGCATACGATGGCGCACACAGCGATAACGTGTCCCACACATCAAATTGCATGAAATAGCCATTATTTCTCCATCCATTTGAGTAGTAATACTTGAATTATAGTTCTATTTCTCCTTTTTTACGAAAAAATTAACAGTTTTATTGTTATATATATATGATCAAATATGCTATTTTTTCATTTTAGGCCAACAAGAGGAGAAGAGAAATGGTTGAACGAGATAAGCAATTCCGAGTAAGAAGACTAAGCGATTCACCCCATTTTTCTTTAAGATTTCCAATGATTAACCTGCCTGGCAATATTAAAAATAATTCCTTTATTTTTCAGGCGTGGTTGCGGAAGAGACGAGAAAATCCTTCCACATCAGGACCTCAGCCCTTCGTGAAATTTGGTCCGGTATTGGCTCAAAGGGTTTAGAAGTCGTCTAACTCAGCCACAAATTTCTCCCTGTAATCGCATTTATTCCATGAAAACTCATATCCGCAAATATCTTGATATTCCATAAAACAAAAGAAATATATTTTGTATTTATTCAGTCTGATGTATTCATTGCACCGTTTTTGAGATCGTGTGTGTGTGTGTGTGTGCGACATAACTTCTAGGTTATCACACTAATAGGTGGCAATTTTATCACCAAAACTGTCCTAAGAACATTCGTCCAAATGTAAATTGTGGCACATTTGCACATTTGCACATTTGCTTAACTGATCTGACAGCAGTACCTATCCGTTTCTACTTAAAGCTCGTTTAATCTTATCTGGTCGATATAAAATATCCGCATAGTCTGGGTGAATGGACAATGAGACAAAGTTATCTGCTGTGCTCCCAAATTCGTGGTAAATTTGCTATCTCACAACGTTGTGATTACGATTTTCAATGATTCTCGTATAATCTATCGATTGTCTTTGATTTAGTTATGCTTCCCGAAAAATCTTCCATATTTTTGCTCTTGGTAATAATAATTCCAGGGCATAACAGCCAAATCTCGTTTAACACCATCGGTAAAACACCAATTTATGGCACTGTTAATAAAGCCATTTCTGGATTAATGGAATATTTCATCTATTCTAAAACTCAAAGTGGTGAGAAACGAGAAGAATGACAAAGGTAATGTGGTGGAAGATGATTTAGTACGGGGCACTTACATTACAGTGCAATATGTAGTTAGGGGTTATTTGATAATTAATTTTCTGTTTTCTGTTCTTCAAATTCGTGTGCATCTTTAATATCATTAAGATTGGGGAATTCACTTGTTCTTGACTATGTAAATTAAAAGACCAATGGAATTCATAAATCTTATCTAAAATCAGCTTGATAATGCAAATTTAGGCATATTTGCTAATCCAAAACGTAATTTTGAACCATCTCTGCGGCCAAGAACCGATGAATTGGCATCTCCATTCCAACAAAATAATGCCAATTAGACTATCTTTGACCTCAGAAACTCAAATAGACTATTTTTATTTCTTCATTTTCATTGGTTAATGCAGTCGTAACATGTTAAACGTTTGGCGAAATCAAGCACCAAGAATTTCATTTTGACATCAGCTCAACTCGATTAACAAAAATGTCTAAAATAATGATGGTTTCAATAAAACTTAAATTCACCATCGATATTACACAAATTAGTTTGTTCGCAATTAATTCTGAAGTAAACAAAGTGAATTGTTACGGAAATGTTTATGGTAAATTTTGACAATTTTCTCACATTACCAATTCATAACTGACATAACTAAGGCATTCATGTCTGTATATTTTCACAGACGATTATCGCCACAGGCAGATATAAAAGGCGAGATTTAATTGATGACTTATGGAAAATGAGTGAAAGACTGATGTGTTTCCAAAACCGCATTTTGCACATAACCAAAAGGTATTGATTTTTTTAAATATTTTTGAATGCTATTTTTCACGTTTAATGTTTATAATTCTGCTAAGATTGATATATTTAAATAATTAGTCCGTTTAATTTAATGTTCGTTCAAACTTAAAAAGCTTAAAATTGGCATATCACTATAAATAGAGGCATGTGATTTACTTTCCATTATAATTTGTTGCCACAATTGAACATATACAACGGACTTTCGATAAAATGAATAGGTTCAAAGATTGCACATAATCCATTCAAAGAAGCAATAGTTCTTGTAGTTTACGAATAAAATAAAATGCAGATACAAATTAGTTCCACAAAATAGAAACTACACAACATCAATCTACTTAGATACATTCATAGAAAGGAAAAGTTAATAAAGCTGCTATAGATATTTACACTGCCATAAACATTTATTCAAAAAAGAAGACGGAAGATATTTAATAGAATTTCAAGGTTACCTAGCATTCAATCTAACCTTGAATCCGCTTTTTAGTTTCAGATGATTGTGTCGGACTTGTTTCGATACATTCATCGCCATCTTTTTACTATCACTATATGCCTTTCGCTTGTGATAATTATCACAAGAGTTTATATTAATGTAATGTCGTCAAAATTCATATTTCTATAGATTTACAGCAAGTCTGTTTACTTTCCAGAAACCAACTACAACATATCATGGATTGATTCTGGTTAGTTAGTATTTATTATTTCTAACAAGGCTTTAAATGCATGAAATATGTTTAGCTATTTAAAATTCTGATTTTAGTTAAAACGTCCGAGGATCGTTTGAATACATCGTATTGCAATAATACTCTACAGGGGGCAACTAAAATAACAGATGACCATGGGTTCCTGTGTCCGAGAAGGAACTTACTTATCAATGGCTGCTGTGATCGAACTAAAAGATCAACGCTAAGATACGTTTGTAGTACATGCTCATTGATTTTCTGCTGTCAATCTTATGAGGTCTGTGTCTCATGTTGTCTCAACCCTATTAACGTAAATTTCTCGACATATAATTTAAAGCATAGTCACTTCACGTTGGCATTCATACATTTTGCCTTTTTAAAGAGTGGCCTCTGGAAGAATATTTTGCTGTTAGCTAAAATTGAAAATCAACTGAACATTTTGTCATCAAAATCGGTTTTCGATTTATGTACTTCACGTTGCCGAACTTCTTCGGAGGTAGTTACGAATAAATGATTATTTTTCATCTTACATTTGTAGTCCGTTGTGAATGCAAATGCTTATAGGGATCCTTCACGCAAGTATTGTTTTGGTGTCGATCCTCCAGAACTGAAAATTCCTTTTGAAAAGGAGGCTGATCTTGAAAGTTAGTTCAGGTGAGATCAGCGTCAATATTATCCTTATCTAACGAGAGGCACTTCTTTGATCTATCTCTTAGTGTTTTAGATTCTTTACTTATATTTGTGCCGCTGAAATGTAAATAATCCAACCAAGTGATGACGCCAATTGATCAAATTATTTTGAATTTATACTGTTTTTTGAATAATTATTTTTATGTGCTGTCATTATTTTTGTCTTATTTGACATTGTTGTGTTACATGATTTGTGCCTCCTCCACTAACTTGCTGAGTTTCTGCTCTGCCAAATGTCTGAAGTCAATTTTGTTATATATAGAAATGGGCTGTCTGCATAAGTCCTTTACTTTAAGTTTTGACGCACAATTCTCTCTGAGACCTCAAATACAACGAATGAAACTTTACTTTATGCATCGTCTGCGTATTTGAGTTAGTAACCGCTGCAGTTCCAGCTGTCTAGCCACGCTCCTTATAGAGAAAGGAAAATAGACTGAAAGCTTTTATTGAATTGAATTTATTTATGTCACCTTGATGACATATCGCTTTTTACTGGCTTTTAACTGCCGTAGTTCCAGGTTTTCAATTGGTATTTTACCATTTTCGTCATATATAGTTCAAGATATGGCGTTTCTAATGTCTATTGTGTCAGGGGAGGGGACATTTGAGACTAATCGGCGAAGTTTGCTTTATTTGGCAAACCAGTTTCATTGATGCAATTTCGAATCTATTCAATCACATCAGTAAGATTGGTCGGAGACAATTCAATCAATCATTGATTCTTACCTAACTTCGTCGTGCGATATGATGGAGTATGATTGGTAAGCAATTCATCAATCCATAAATATCGTTGTCTTCCACCGTGACCTGTCATGGTAATAGCGTGTGGAGATTGAATGAGATGGCGTTCCATCGATGTCACAATTTTGGGCAAAGCATTGTTTGTGCTCCTCTCATTGGACTGCCCACTTAGCAACTAGTAAGGCAACAGGCGACAGCGGAGGCTGTGGGGAGGGAAAGAATTTCTCTCCCCTATGCACCCATTCATTAACAGTAATCAAAGGATTTAATGCTTGTGGAAGGAAACCCATTTTTTTCCATTCTGTCTCCTATTGTTCATATGCCACTTTGTGGGAAGTTAAAGTGCTTGCAAAGTTTCCAACTAGTTTCGAGCTGTTTTCAGACCAAAGAGTGATAGTGTTATGTGCTAATGAAACAGATGGAAATTTTCCTATTAAATTTATGGTATTTCTCAGCTCGTTGTAATAATTCGGCAAATTTTATTGTTAAGTGAAACGCGACAATACAAAAATCAATCAAGGAGGCCTCTTTGTTGCAAATAATTGCAGAATATGATATACTTGTGGAATTTCTATATTGCTTACCTGGGACGTTTTTGATACATATAAATGTCAATAATCTGTCGAGTGGCTAGTTGTAGATCAAAAGAGCGTGAACTGTGAATTATGACTACCTTTTTTAGAGGGTAGACATTTAAGAAGATTTTTTCTGCACTCTCGCACCAGTTGAGATGGTAAAGAGAAAAAAGTACGAAATGTGTTTCATTTCATCATCGCACACATAGAAAGACAATGCAATTGTGGGCTCATTTATGTTTGTTTAAGTTCGCAAGTGAAACCCATTCTTGGGCCAATCGAATCATCCTGCAAGGTGAGTGACCTACGATTCCGTGACAAAATGAACATATGCTGTGAGAGGTTGAGAAAAAGGAACTTTAATCCAACAGTTACTGTAAGTAAATTGCTTTTGGATGTGCGTTCCGATAACGAAATATTTGAGGGACTATGTTCGAAAGAGGTTATTTAACTCCATTTTAATAGAAACCAAAGTAAATGCCTAAACAACTATTCAATGAATATTGGTATTGAACGGAAATGCACATTTAACCAAACACCTATGATTATACGAACTCATTTAACAATTTACTGGTTGTTACCTCATCAAAATCGCCGATTGAAAAAAAAGTTTCTGATATCAGAATCGTTTGCTTGAATAATTTCGAAGAAAAGTCCAATGGAAGGGTATTTGCGTGTTTTAATGAGTCCTGGGTAGCCAATTGGGTCTTAACAGTAGCGAGGTCATAATGTTATTCATTTCAGTGACGATTTTATTACTCCAAAGGTCAAATAACCTTCGATTGTCAACAAACATTGGCACACCCAATTCTCTACAAAATCTCTGGGAGCATATCCGCCGAAATACGATAACTTTCTGCAGGATTTGGAGGCCTAAATACCTCATGATTTTTCCATTATATTTCTTTTGAAAATGCCCTATTTCTCTTCCTGTAACATTATATCCTATTGGGGCTTTTACTTCAAACATTGTTGAGACAACCAGTGATGATATGAATCTGCGCTCATCAGTCTGAGATAGTGTTATTTATTTATATCAAATGGCAGGCGTCTTGAAGGTTATCATTAGCCCTTTAGTTGACTTCAGACTTCACAGAGGGGAAGGAACATCAAATTGAAAAAAGTCGAGAGG